AGAATCTTATTTGAAGTGTGTGTTTTGGTTCCGACAACATTGAATCCCGAAAAACACGTTTTCCTCATTCTTTGTTGTTGAATAAAAAGTTTTCCCACAAATATTGGTGTACCCATTTTATGCGCCCATGATCTAAATACCCCCTTAAACAAGTTGTATCAATAAAATCAGACTATACAATTATTTCGGGAAATTTGCTAATATGATTAGACTAATAATACCCGTACCGTTATGATTTCTACATCGCTTAACATTGCTTATAGTAAGTGTGTCATTCATTAGACGCCTTATCGAGGGCTTTTTTGACTATAAACAATAAAATATCATTCTCGATTGTGTAGCTTCAATGTTGCAATCCACAGACAAAAAGTAGAACAAAAATGTCTGGGCAGGTGCAATCGCGATCACCACCATAAAATAATTATCCTTACTCGGTCGCCGGTTGTCTTTTTTATTCGTAAACCTCGGCTGGTCTGAAGGGCTGTGATTTACGACTTGAGCGATGCGGCGACTGGCAGGTGGCTTCGGCGAATCTTATCTCTCGTTTGGTCCAGCAGTACCGTACAGTGGCGAACCAGAGCCTTTTCAACTGAAAGGAGCTGAACACGCTCAAGCTGCGCAGAAATGCAGATCTGAAACAAATATGTTGGCGAAGGATGCTTAGTTTGAAATTTCCTAACCTTTATAGATATGTATACTAAGTGACATATAAATCCGAACACCCAGTTTAAATGGTTTTATTTTAATAAAATTTTGTATAAGTACTTAATGAAGCATAATAAGTAAATGATAAAAATTCCAAAATAATTGCCACTGATTTAAAGCCCTTTGACCTTTAATAATGTGTGGATGCACCCTGATGTGCTACGCCTCTCCAACGGCCTAGGCATGATTCTGATCAGGTGGTCAAATGTCCTCCTGTGGTATCTCATTCAGGCAAACCACCAAATCCTCTCGAAGTGCTTCTAGAGTCTGAGGAGGACGTTGCAATTGGAGCATCTCCTACCCATCATATCCCACACGTGCTCAATTGGGATAAGTCGGGAGATCTTGGTGGCCATGGTAACAATGTGACATCATTATTTGAAAGACGTCTATTGTGACTCTTGCAACATGTGGTCGGGCATTATCTTGTTGGAAAGTTGGATCTGCCAGGGTGTCAAGATAGGGTAAAAGATGGGGTTCTAGAACTGCGTGGATATAACGCTGCGCGTTCATGTTACCTCTGATGAAGATTAAAGGTGACCTGGAACCATAAGCAATAGCACCCCAAACCATAACTCCAACAGTGTGATGAACATGTCTTTCAAACAAAAAACTGTGGATTCTTCCTTTCACCACGCCGCCTTCTAACCCTGGCACAACCATCGTGCATGCCTAAACAAAGTCGAGACTCTTCACTAAAGACAATACTGTTCCATTCCTGATCCCACAGTGACCGTTGTCTGCACCACTCAAGGCGATTACGTCGGTGTTCTCGAGTTAAAGGGAGGACCCAGTGTGGCCGGTATGAAAACAAGCCAAAACTTCTCATTCGTCGGTAAACACTTCGCATGCCAATAGGTCTTCCGTGTTCTGCAAACCATTCATTTGCAATGGACCTGGTAGTGGAGAAACGGTCCCTTAAGGCCAATAATCTTAGGCGGCGATCTTCACGGTCTGTTGTTCTACGGCAGCGTCCAGTGCCCCCCGCTCTTTGCGTACGGTCTTCTCGAAGCCATGCCTGACAACACCTAAACACAGTGTCTACACTTCTTTGCACTCTAACTGCAATTGCCCGAAAAGAAAGTCCAGCTTCCCGAAGTTCCACTATACGACCCCTATCAAACTTACTAAGTTGACGAAATCGTACAGGTCTCCGTACTCTAGGCATCGTAACCGATCGTAAAGGATGTCAAGAACCAAAATCCGCCAACGTTGATTCTTTACTGCGGCTGAAATATTCATTTTTAGAGCGTTAGTGAATTAAAAAAAAGCAGTATCAAAACCGGAATGTCCAACTGATAAGGCTGAAAATTTTTTCACTTGTTATTTACAGTAAGATAAATACATTCACCAATTTTTATTAAAATAAAGCCATTTAAACTGGGTGTTCGGATTTATATGTCACTTAGTATATATGAAGAGTCTGGAGTGAGTAGATAGGAACATATTCTCAAAACCCCACAAGTTGCACAATATGTGGTGATTTTTGTCTTATTTCAAACCAAGAAACTACGATCTCGTGTCATGTCAGCTGATGTGAATCACAAGAAAGAAAAGCACAAATTGTAAAAGAGATATTCATAGATAGTAACGTTAACAGCATCTGAAGAAAAGCTAAAGCCAAACATGATTACGATGATGACCATGATGATCTGTTTCCTTTGCTTTTAACTCTCTCTGGCTTCTGGGTAACTAAACTTGATAAGCCTACGGATCTATAACGCCTTCAACGAGGCCAAAATTCATATGGTATCTTCCGATATAAAAGGATGAACAGAAAACTAGCATTATGTATAAATATTATGGTAACGAGAAAGGTCGCTTTATAGGACAACCTCGAAATATTTTTCATTAAAATGCTTTACTTTCAAATCATTGGTCCGTTATATTTTCGAGCGCCCTCTTTACAATGGCGCACAACTTTGTTGATGGTAACCTCGACAGACTATATCACAATACTATATAGGACGTAGCCATTGTCGTAACTAGTTAGGCGAAAGTATCTTCAATAGGTCTTTGGGACGCTACAAAAAAGTGTACTCTCTTTTAATTTAGAACTCAAGCTTTCGATAGTCCACCCTATCATCATCAGGAGCTAAAGACAAATTTAAAAAATATTAACAACAAACAATTAAGTGATATTGTATTACTTACTGAGTCGGCGAGGTTGTGGCTAAATTGTTCTTAGAAGAAAGTGCATGAGACCACATAGTAAAACCATCAAAAAATTGTATGGACGTCATACATCCAGTCAGGGTTCATTGTAGATGAAGGGTACAGGTCCAAAAGGGGGCAAGTCGTAATTTTACACGAATAGATCTAGTGGTGCCATCTTGTAGCAATTTTAACGTAGAAGTGGTCAGCGACTTGAACACGTCCTAAAAGCGCTTAGTGCCTGTGAAATTCTAATTCTTATTTACGCATACACCGCCAATAGGGGGCAAGTCCGCATCAGTCAGGTCCTAAAAGGGTAAAGTCCATATAAACAGCTGATAGATGTCGATCTAATACGCGCAGTTTAGAGTTGGATTAGTCGGAGTAGCTAGTGTTTTCAATGTTTTTCAAGTAATTTAAAAGTAAACAACAATAAATACTGAGAACAATAGTAGCGAAAATGAGAGTGAAGTAGTATCTAGACAGAATGAATCAAAAAAGAGGAAAAAGTACGGCAGAATGAGAGATGTCATGAAAAAGATTAGACTGCAGAGCCACGAGGTAGGTGCAAACTGTAACTGTCGTAAACAATGTTTCCAAAATGTACCTGAAGAAGCAAGAAAAACCATTCTCAAGAATTTTAACGCAATGACTTCTATTAATTAGCAGAACTCCTA